CACATTTTCCCATATTTTTTTTAAAAGTTAATTATTGACTAATAATATTTTATTTAATATGACATTTTTTTAAAATAAAATATATAAATTGGTTTTTATTTTCATAAATCTAATATATAAATGTGAAAATGAAAACCTTTGAGTGATATTTTCTCAGAAACTACTGAACCGATCGTTATGATTTTTTTTTTCTAATTGAAGAGCTCATTGCGGAGAAGGTTTATGGCTTTTGATTGATTCTCTAACTTTAAAAACAAAGGAGTTATCAATTATTATAAATTTTCATAAAATTCAGATCGAAATTTTTGTTTATAAATGGTTGCCATGAGTGACATCTTATAAAATGATTCGTTAGAGAAATTTTAATACAGAATTATAGTTAATCGTTTTAAGTCGTTGCCACGAGCACAAACAAACCATTTATTATAATATAATACATCGACTATTTGTTATTGAACATTATTCAATCAGTATCTATTATTATTATGTGTCTATAGCAATGATGGGTTTATAAGCCAGATAGTAGTAATAATAATAATAATAATAATAATAAAAAAACTATTTGCTTTACTTTTTAAATATAAATTATAATATTATAATATCCAACTATAAAAATGTGAAATGAAAATCCCTGTACGGGCTGAACTCTGGAACTACTTATCAGATCTTCTTGATTTTTTTTTAAACGAAAGAGTATTTCACGAAGAAGGTTTATATGAAAGAAAATTTTAGGAAAATCCACCGGTGTATAATATATTGGTTGCTATTGGTTAATCGGCCATGTTTGTTACCTAGGTTACCTAGGTTACCTGGTACATTTAACGGGCAACGAAGTGCACGGGATCAGCTAGTATAATATATTTTAAATGTATATTATGTTTGATCAACTGAACTACTTACTTGAAACAGTAAAAAAAAAAAAAAAAAAGTAGGCATAAAGTAAAATATTTAATTAATAATTAATAAAAATGGTTAAAAATTCCGACTTAAAAATGATACATTTTGTAAGAAACATTTGAATTCTGATTCTTTTGTTATTTCGTAACTTATATTTTTGCCTTTGTTCATATATTTTTTTTTTTTTTTATTATTAAAACTGTACCAGTTTGAATATTTAACAATTTAATAAGTGCTTGTGAATTGGATTCAAGTAGTTCAGTTGATCAAAACTATACCTACATCTATAATTTACTATAGGTATTTATGAAAATATTAGACAATTGACATAAATATAATATTCATATTAACCCGTCAGTGATCGCGATGTGAGCGCGGCGCTCACCTCGTTAGTATTTTGGGAGCCATTTGTTTATTTATTACTTGATTCATCTGATATATTTATACTTCAATCGACACATATTTAAGTATACTTTTGCAAATATAAAAATTGTATAAATAATTCTTGATTAGATATCGACATGCAATGTTGTTAATATCCCATAAATTTCAGCGTTCACTCACTCAATAGGTCAACCAAATACTTTTTTCGTAAACTCAGACCTATTTTTAAGTAGCACCCACATTTTATATGTGTACTGTATGATAATCAGCAAAATGTTCCAGACCACTAAGGCGAAGATGAATGATAATGATTATCTTATTATATAATTATGTATAAAAAATTATAAATTAATTTTTAGTGGTTAACAATTTATAATCGAGAAAAATTGTAAGAACATTTTTTGTAAAAGATTAAACTATAAATAATTCGTTGTTGGTTTCAATATTTTATGTTCATTATATAATAAATAATGATGAAAAAACAACAAGGTGAGCGCAGCGCTCACTCAATACCAATGGCGGGACTTTACATAGCGATACCAACGACGGTTAAATAATAATATTTTATAATTAAATAGTAAAGTTTAAAAAAATGGGGGGGGGAATGTCAACATCAAAAATATATCTGGGGAAAATGTCTTACTACACCGAAAACAGTCTGGGGGGAAATGTCCGCGATTCAATTTTAATATCTATTACATAATTTATTGTTATCTTACCCTAGTTTCAATTTTGCTTACATCTACAAAAACTTACTGACTAAGGCTTATACTAATAATTGTATTAATACCAAAAATGTTTATATCTTATGCATTTATGCATGATACAGCACATTGGTTTGGTAAAAATGCATTTAGTAAGTTCCCATATCTGATTACTAAAGATACGACGGATATACAATATACAGTGTGATTCACCAAACATGCACATTTTCCATAATTTTTTTTAAAAGTTAATTATTGACTAATAATATTTTATTTAATATGAATATTTTTTTAATAATTTATAAAATATAAAATATATAAATTGGTTTTTATTTTCATAAATATAATATATTATGTTTGATCAACTGAACTACTTACTTGAAACAATAAAAAAAAAAAAAGTAGGCATAAAGTATAATGTAATTAATAATAAATAAAAATGGTTAAAAATTCCGACATAAAAATGATACATTTTTTAAAAAAACATTTGAATTCTGATTCCTTTGTTATTTCTTAACTTATATTTTTTAGCCTTAGTTCATATTTATTACTTTTTTTGTTGTTGTTAAAACTGTACCAGTTTAAATATTTAACAATTTAATAATTGCTTCTGAATTTGATTCAAATAGTTCAGTTGATCAAAAATATACATCTATAATTTATTATATTTATGAAAATATTAGACAATAGGCATAAATTATTTTTATATTAAATAATAATATTGTATTATTATATACCTAGTATACTTAGTAAAAAAATGGGTGGGGGAATGTCCTACTACACCGATAATCTCGGGGGGAAATGTCCTCGATTCTTTTATTATATTAGTAAATCTTTTTTTTGTTTTTTTGATAATTCGTTGGACGTTATATTTATAACCCCATGATGAACAGCCATTGTAAAAATATTACCGCAAGTCCACAACTTGATTTTCTGTAACAATATTAGTGATCTTACTTATTTTTTCATCCGCCGAGCGTTTAGAATTTGAGGAACTTGCATCAAAGTAGCTAGTAATTTTCCTTTTATTAGATATAGACACATAGTACCTAATTGTGAAAATGTAAAATAGACAAAGTAGAAAGTTTTTATTACGATAATTCAGTTGTTAAGTGAGTTATAGTATGTATAATAAATTGAAATTAAAAATGCTCATAACTCACTTAAAAACTGAATTATCGTAAAAAAAAACTTCCAACAAAACACAGATAATATTATAATTTACCATCAAGTTTTATAATAGGTCGATTCACTCTAATTTTTAAGCTAACGGCATAGAACTTGAATTTCTGAGCGTAACTTTGGTATGTTAGTACGTGTATTGTCTCAGTCTTAGAAATGCACAACATAGCAAAAACTGTTTTGCGCTGGACAATTTTACTCCCTCTATATTTATAGTTATTTGGATAAAATTTAAAGTTATCAGTTTGAATACATTAGGTTTTATTTCATTTTATTTATAAAAACTATTGGTTAGTGCCATCAAAAAATTAACACTACGGTCTACGACACAGATAAAATTATTCTCTATGAGTAGTCGAATTTCGGTAATTCTACTATGAATACAAAGGCAGTAAAATGTCCCGCACAAAACAGTTGTTGCTATGTTGTACATATTTAATAAGACGTTGACAGCATATGAAGGTGGATGTCCTCTTAAATTAGAAAGTATTTTTACTAAGAAATCAGAAAACACATGATAATAAAATCCATTTTTTTTTAAACTATTGTTTTATTATTAAATAATTGTAGACATTTCTTAAAAAAGGGAGGCTGTTTCACACTTTTACTTTTATAATTTAAATCAAATATTTACCAGGATGGAATATTATTATTTGGAGATGTAGATTAACAAATTAAATCTACTTTAAATTAACTGTTGAGGTTCTTCAATTATTTTTTTTTAAATATAATGTATTATACTAACCAATGTTCACAAATATCAGAATATTATGTTATGTACTTTGAGATTTTTTTTTAATTACCTTGAAATTGTATATTCTTAAATTAATTTAAATACTACACTGCACTTTAGGTCCATCCTACCATATATACCTAAACAAATTAAATGTGTATTGTAATACAATTGACTGGTAATTTTTAAAATTCTCAAATTACATAATCATATACTCGTATTATGATAATTTTGAATGCTAGCTATTTATTACCTTTAATTTATATTCAATTTTAATTACGAGAGTAGGTTGTGTAAATAGATTAACTATGTGTATGTAGTATGTACATTATGTACCTGTCAGTTGTCGATGATACGGTGGAACCAATCAAATCTAAGATCATTAAAACTGTTTCTTTTGATAATCTGAATGTGGTTTTAAAATCATGTTCACCTCAAGTATTAAAATGACTAATTCTTGTTCGTACAGCATACGGTCTATGCTTATAATTTAAATTTAAATAATCATGGAACTCTTCGTCATCGTCATAAAAATGTACTTTGTATTCGAAGTTCGTTATAATTAAGGAACTTGTAATTTAAATTGTAAATAAAATTAAGTCCCTAACAATGATCAGAATCACGAATCAATGACAATTATTAAATTAACCTACAGTTAAAAAGTTAATCTGAAAAAATAGTAGTGCTTATTTTAACTATCGGTCAAATCTGATGGTTAGCTCAACTGGAATTCGAAAAACAGAAGTGGGACATTTAAGTCCTACTAACTGTTAGTTTAAGACAATTGAAAAACCAGCAACAATCCGTAAAACGATATCGTATTATCATATGAACTATACTCTATTCCAAATGAGATCAGGCTTCGGTGGCCGAGTTGTGCATATGAGCAAGGCTTCGTTCTGTGGCAGCGCATGACGCGCCGCCGTATAGTGGGGACGACGTCTGACCGTCACGAAACGAAAACTGGTCCCCGTCGAAGCCTGATAATATTTGGAATAGAGTATACTAATATACGTACAACTTTCAGCTAACATAAGAAAAATTGTTAGGACACCGAATACGGATTATTGATTTTAACGCAATTACTATACCATAGAATATTAATTGTGAAACGACTTCAACGCCTCGTCGTACAATTTATTGAAGTCATCGACGTCGACAATCTTGCATCGCTTGTAGACCTTAGTGTTGTAATTCACGCGGCTTGTACGGTTTGCGACAAGCAGCACGTACGCATCGACTGTCATCTCAAAGTTGTGCATCACCTTTTCTTCCGTTGCAAACATGCCGAACACCAGCTTTGAGATTTTCCGGCAAATCCTGTACACTAAATGGAGCATCAGGTGACCCTTGGCTTGGCCACTGGACGGCAACACCGCTTTGACGCGCTCTTCGTACTCGTTCGACTTGCTGGTAGAAACAAAGTGCGCGGTCTTTTGGTGCGCGTGCTCCAAGAATAACCGAACGAGATTATCCACTTTCTAAAACAACGACACGGAATAAGCTAGTTTTACTGTAATATATATTATATATATATATTTAAAAAAACAATAAGAAAAAAATGTCTACTTCTATTAATGGATTCCATATATACTTAAAAAACAGAAAATACACTCAGATATTAGGAAATTTCTCTCCATTACATGCCACCTTTGAAAACGCCGGGGAGATGTCCTTAACTCTCAAGACGTTTTGGTAACCGTCGAAGTTAATAAAAATATCATGGTTACCTCATTCAATTCCACGCGCCCCTTTATTGGAAACCTTATCGTTGACATTTTTGTATCTGGATAGTTTTCCTTCTGAAACTTTTTGAACCTATCTTCAGCCGTTTCTGAAATCTGAGCCACGTAACGCGGCTCGTCATCAAATGGCTTGTCGAACCGACTGTAAACTTCGTCGTTGCTGATCATTTCGAAAATGAAAGACGTCACTTCACTAATTTTCTTGGATTTTATCAGTTTGGTGGGAATTACATCTCTCTCGTTCACGTGTTGAAGTCGGTCAATGGTTTTTCGCATGTCCACAAATATTTTTTCTGAAAAAAAAATTAAAACGTATCAAATATAAAATGGCGTTTATTAGATTAGAGTACGTTTTATTAGTTTTATGAAACAGAATACGACCCATAGGTTCTTATCTGGTCGTCGTTGGTATAAGACGTTATCATATTGTTTTCTCTCGTATACTTTATTGTATATTATAGCATTTTTAGTATAACAGTGTTTTCCGTTTTAAATCTATTTATTAGTGATGTCTTTAGAGTGTATTAAATATAATGAGTTCGTTTGTCACAGAGAAGATTTACTTGAGTGCTATGTATGTAAAAATATTATGAATTATTATTGTGTTTGCTATTTGCAACAATCGGTATTAGAAGCTTATAGAATAAATTACTTTGATTCTAAACAAAGTTTAATTGTGGCTAAATTAGAATCACTAGATATGCAAAAAGCTTTTATTTGAAATGTTAAATCAGCTAATCTAATAACAGATAGGATATGCACAAATTGGTCAAAAGATAATATATTTGTCAACGAACGTTTAACAAAATTTAAAAGAATACATTTTTCACAAACACGATCTGCCGGTAAAGAAAAACAAGACAAATTCGTTTGGATATCAAATTCCAAAATTCTCGTAAGAAAAAATGAATATTCCATAATTTTGAAAACTAAATCAACTCAACTTGTTAATAAATTATAAGAAATGTTTTTTTTTTTTTTTTTGAAATTGTATAAATTAGCAGGTGAGTATTCTGTATTTAATGATTCATCATATTCTAGATTTTTATATCTGCCTTAATACGAATAATATTGACTGCACTTATATAAATAATTTAAATGAAGTATCATTAAATAATAACGATTTCTCTATTTTTCAATTAAATATCAGTAGTATAAGTGCACATTGCAATGAATTGGCAGCTTTACTTAGCTCTGTTAAAAATATTTTAGTATTATTATTTTATGTGAAACGTGGCTAGTTTATGATTTTGAATACAAACTAAATGGATACAAAACGATAAATTCTTTAGGTACTTTCAATAAAAGTGATGGTGTAACTATCTTTGAAAGAGATTCTTTAAATATAATACAAATTGAAAACATGTATTATAAAATTGTAATTCAATTCATCTTATAATTGAAGTAGACGTCTTAATATTTTCAATAATTTGCATATGTATATTACCTAATGATAATATTGAACATTTTTTACAAAGTTGAGATTTATTTTTACCACAAAACTACCCAAACAAACTAAAATGTATTCGAGAATATCCTAGACAAAAAAATGCAAGGGATATCCAATCATTCTTAGGACTACTAAATTATTATAGACGTTTCGTCGATAATTTTGGGAAAATCGCATAACCACTACTTATTTATACATTTTCCCACCAAATTCTTTTATTATTATTTTAGGGACAAATGAAGAAATTTTACCACGCTGACCACGTTTCGTACAACGTTAATATCGCAACAGCACCACCACACGGTCTTATACCCCGACGAAGTTCCGCGGTGTATGTTAACGCAGCGAATAAAAATTTACTTCAACCGTATACGCCGATGAAGCTGTTGGAACTCACTCGTACAATTAATCACTTCTCACACGACTTAACGAAAATATTAAGACCTCTACGCAAACCACTTTGCTCATATCTAAGGGAATTTTTGGAAACAACAGAACACCCAATAGGTATACTTGATTATATGCAAATTTAAAGTCATGTACTTTATTAACATTTCAATAATCATTTTCTTTTATAACTATGATAACTATTTGATTCTATTCGATTTTTCTATTAACTTTTCTTCGCATGAATACGTATTGTACAATAACGTCTTCATTTTGACATATATCTATATATATATATTTTTTCATCTATGTATAATGTTCGATACATATATATATGTTTTGTTTTTAGTGAAACACCTGAGTTCGCGTTCGTAGATTTTGAAATCACACAATTAGGGAAAGAAAATTTAATCATAATATCCGGCGCTGTATGTGGTCATTATGAACCAATTGTCACAAAATTCGTAGGACGCGCACTCAAACTCAAAACCAACGAACCAGTAACTACCAGAGAATGGACAGCTATGGTGGGCCACCTTGTTAATATTTTCATAGGAAATCCTCACAAAAACTATTCCCTATACTCGCACAAATCTACAACTCCGACCATACTTCGAGCCCGAACTTAACTCGTACCACCATACAAACAATACTCAACAAATATGGTTCTATCATTCTGTGGGAAGGTTCCACCGATATTAAAATTCTGAACGCTCTCCACATATATTGTCGAGTATTGACAATGCGCGGATGGGACATAGACAGCAACGGAAACTTTGACTTACAATTAATGAATATGATTACAAATAAATCAATCTGTTCTATTAAAATAGGAACTTTTGTAAAACAGGGACGCGCTCTAAAACTAAGCGAAGCTCATGAGCTCGTATGTAAGAAAACCCACAATTTTTCGAAAGCCCACGATAATAGGACAGACGTTCTGTAGACCCGTTGTTTATTCCGTAAATTACAATTCGAATATCGCGATCTAATAAAAAGTGTGGTTGAATTTTAAACAAATACAAACTTATTTTTCCTAGTTATAATCATTTTATTTCGGAGACGGGTTATTATTGCATTATTATTATTACTAAGAAGTAAACATTATATAAGGGTTACGGAATTTTATTATTTTATTATCGGTTCAATTATGCATTTTTATTTGGGAATAAGAGTATTCATATTATTATTTTAATTTTTTTTATATATATGGGAATAGGTTAATTTTAAATCTAATACATTTAAATTCATTAAATTACCTTGACTAATAAGCTGAACCGGTTTTCAGACTTATACTACTAACTATACCATTCACGTCGGAAAGATTTCGATACACCGACGAACAATTAACACAACAATCCGGTCTATACTACGGAAATCGGGGACCTTTGAAACTTATTACATCTTAATGGGACCTAACTGCGTATATTAATTTTGCTAAATACAAAGAAAGCTACATTTATATTGACGAGGTTATGAACAAAACCGAAATAATATATGCAAGTATCAAAAACAACAACGTTGATACTAATTGTAACAATTTAATTCACCCAGCTAGTAGTATAGTAGACGATCTACGAAAAAAGAAAGAACTAGTATTAGACTCTATAGAACATACAGTATCTAAAAGAAGTACAACGTTCTGAATGATAGCGAAAGCAGCCAGATTGATATACGGAATATGTAATCTGGAATGCATTAAAAAATTTAATTTTAATATAGGGCAAATGCATGACGCTCCACAAACTAAGTTAGTTAAAAACAAATAAAAATAGTTAAGTTACAAAAAAAATTCGATGAGCACGAAATCTATAATATGACATTTTTTAATAAACGAATATAGTAACGTATCTAAGGACCAACAAACAAAAAATTATTTAACTAAACATTTTATGATTATAAATTTATTAATAATGAGGCCTGAAAATATGTTTGAATTTTAATATTAATATAAATAATTTTGGTAATTTAATTAATTTTAAAAAGCACATTAAAACTTTAAATTTAGATTGTGCTTAAAGTAAATGTATTTTTTTTTGTCATTTTATAATTTTTTCTAAAATGTTAAATTTAAATCGTTACGATAATATGTATTAAATTCATATTATTTTATTTCTGTTATTTAATACTTTTTTAAGAAACATTTTAATTTAGACCTGTATAAATCGGGAAACAATTACTGAGTGTTTTATACATTTATGAACGAGGAATTTATTGTATTAAATTAAAATCATATGATAAGATATATTATACAAACTGTGGCAATTTATTTTATATTCCTATACCATTGCTTAAAATATATACTTAATATATTTAATCAATGCCTATACTATGCACATAATATCAATACGATAACATAAATTATAATATATATACCTAATACCTATGTGGCTATATGATATTATGTACGTACCTACATCGTTGTATTAATTTTTTTATGTTACATACAAATTTCAAGGTAAATTCAAATGTATTTTTAAATGTATACTCAGTAAATACTAAATAGTACTTACTAGTGAGTTAGAAGTCAGTAAAAGTAGCTTAAGAAATGTAATATTCAATTCAACATGGTATCTACAACAATGCTCAGCCAGAATGGCAAACAATATTAGTAGTGTTATTTGTTAAACAGTGATTATAAAATATGGAAATGCTCAAAATATAAAATATAAACATGCAGGGACAAATTGGTGTTAAACAAGAAAAATACATAATTATATTTAAACTAGCTGATCCCGTGCACTTCGTTACTCGTGAAATGTACCAACTCTATATGACTCAAACTTTGCTCAAATCGTTATTTAATATTCGGTGTATGGTTTTCAGAATGTATCTTAAATTTTCCATTTAACGGAATGAAAATTCTGATTTGCAGCACTACATTATCTGGTAAGCAATCTACCTTCGGTAAATCGCGGACGCCGTACTGTTTGTACGTAAGTATATATTTTAACCCTAAAGTATCAAAGTTATACCAAGTTGGTCGTATTCCACCTATGGTGAATTAATATAATCAATTAATACAAAATCCTAACCTAACCTAATCGTACTAATATCAGATGAATAAAAAAAAACCAAATTTAACCATTTTTAAATTAGCCTGTCTTCTTCCCAGAGGTCTAATATACACCCAAACATTCATTTATACATATACATATATTGATAAAAATAATAATACAAATCAACAAAATGCCAGATTAACCAATAACAACCAATATATAATACACTTTTCCGCCACTGTTGTATTTTTTACATCCAGATTTCCTACTTTTCCGGTGGATTTTCCTCAAATTTTTTTTTTCTTAAAAACCTTCTCCTAGCATTTACTTATATCTTAAAAACAATTTGAGCCATATCGGACCAGCCGTTCTTGATTGATGAGGTATAACGACATTTCCATTTTTATACGAGTATATATAGAAGATAATAACACATATTATATTAATATTATGTAGGTACCTATATCATTTATGTTATATTATCGATACTTATATAATGTATATACGTATAGGTATATAAAATAATTTGGCGCAGTTTGTATAATGAATCTTATCGGTTTTGTCTCAGATTCTATTATAATGTTAAATTTTTATTTGTCTCAGTTAACATATCGAATTTTAGAAAAAGGTTAATTTTGCCGCTGTTTACCAATTCCCTACATGCTATGGATAAAAACAAAATAATGGCTTTTTCACCATTTTCAATTACATTTCCCCGTGATAACGAGCAGCCATCATCCAGCCAATTTGTATATAGTATTTTAACTGAAGTGATTAACATAATTGCTCTACGATTATTAATTTTGGGATTAAACGTTTTCCATGTTTAGTTGTGGGGGAAAACAATTTACAAAGAAATACAATAATAAATTTGAATGACATCAGTTATCGGTGTCGGGATAATTTGTTCATTTTTGAGACATTTTGTTCCGTTTTTAGATGTTTTGTTTTTCTATGGAGACATTTTGATCCTTTTTAATATTTTAGCAAAAATTAAGTAGGATATTTTGTTCCTTTAATTAAATATCAAAAAGTCAACAAAAAATTATAAAATAGAACAAAATTTTCTAGTACGACATTTGTTCCATGGGGATATTTTGTTCCTCTTGCTGGACTTTTTGTTCCGTTTAGTGAATAATTTAATCCTTTTATAACATTTAATAGCGGAAAAAAATATCCTATATTACAGTGGAGGTCTGGAGCATGATCAGGAATATTCAATGAATGTAAGGGGATGAAAAAAAAATAAGTAATATGAAAGTCATATACTCTGAAAGTATTCAAATCACTAAATAAGTTTAAATTCGAATACTATACGTCTTTAGTCGCCACTCATTTTCAGTCGGCCTTGTGTACATACATAGTGGTTAAGGCTTAAGTCCCATAAGGGAGTGTAAAATTGAAAAATAAAAACAAGTTGGTAAAGACTTAACAGTACAATTTTTTACTTTTAATTAAATTGTATTTATTTTTAAATTTAATTATATATATTGTTTGGTTTGAATAAATAATAATTTAAACATTTACTTAAAGGTATATTATAAAGTATTATAGTAAATACCTTTTTGAGGTCAAAATCATAAGTGTGCTGTTTTCGGATACAATAATTAAAAAAATTGAGCTCTTTTAACCTATACCTACCAAAAGTATGTGGTTTTGTCCTGTATTTTACCGCAAGTGTAAGGTTTTAGGAGTCAACGATATAAATATAATATGCTATAGAACTATAATATTAGGTACTATATCTAAGTACCTGTAGGCAATAAGAAGGGCTTAGTGAATATTAGATATTTTATAACTTTATTACCTAACTATTATTTTCAAGTTTTTGATTCTTGTACATACACTATAAAATAAGACTAATAATTCACCTGAAGAAAATGTATTCATTGCAAACTGGGTATAGTAAGATACATTTTGTTCCCATAACTGTTTGGCAATTTTATATAAGTAGGTACTTGGAAGTTTTGCAAGAAAATGGGGGTATTATTAAAACAAATATAAACTTTATTTCAATCAACTATATTGTTGCATATGGATGACTCATTGTCTGGAGTTGTAAGTGAAAAATAATTAAATAAACCAAAATAAAGCTCCAGTTATGTTATAAGGAGTAATATTTAGGCAATTACCATGACATCAACATTTGTTCTATGTCTATGTGTGAGTAGTAATTAGTAAATTAACATTAGTGTGTGTTTCCAAGAATCATTGTGAATCGCAATACTCGCACACGCACGCACGTCATGTCAATACTTATGAAAAATGAAATGTATTCTTGTTTGTATAACTATAAAAACTACTAAAGGCAGTAGTAAATTAAACATAATTCCTGATGTTCGATTGTAACTTTGAAAAAATGATTACATATATAAGCTTCTAAATTATGCTCTTTGGGAATCACTTTTTTTGATTTAAAATCAGATTCTTCCAAAATAAATATTTATATGTACCACCTAATGCAATTATTTCATGGAATTTTTGAAAAAATTGTAAATCGTTTAAAATTGTCAGCTTAGTATAATATTTTATTTTATACTTACTAATACAATAAGCCGGTTAAGCCGGCATTCTATTCAATTTTGAAGCTTCTTCACTATCAAATAAATTATTATTGACATTAAATGTTATAGAAAAAAAAACTGAAAATATCCGTAAACATCTCAAAACAAGTTAAAATATTTTGAAAATTATATGGTGTACAGAAAGATGCTAATAGTTACATTCTGTAAAAATCTGAAGCTTGTAACTGTATTTTTCTAGAGTTAGGTACAATAAAATAAAATTGATATTTTTTGAAAACTGGTTTTGAGTAAAAATCTCAGTTCTTTATTAATTTGTTTTTCCTAACTATTACTGATAACTATAGAACTATATTCACTTTCCAACCAGAAAAAGTACTATTGAAGAAAATCAAAGCATTTTTATTGTCATAAAAGTAGATGACTGACACAAAAAAAAAAAATATAATTATAATAAAAAAAAATACATAATTCCCCATAAAATCTAAAATAAATTAAGATAATTTTTATTTAATTTACTATTTTATACTATGTAACTAAAAAAATGGTCAATCAGACATAACTTTGTATTTTTAAATTCAAATTGGCATTTGTATAGTTCATACTCAATATAAGTAATAACTAATAACGATTAATGGCATCACCACAGGGAATCTCTTGGTAATTATATTTTAGTGATTATTTTTTTCAGTCAATACTCTCTAGTGTAAAGTGTATACCACAGAATAAATGAATCCACACTAGGTATATATATATACATTTAATGATTACTTACAATACATATTGTTTATAATTCATAGTTTAATAAAATAAATTAAATAATAATATAATGTTCGGAACTAATTTTATTGTACCTGCTCATTTGAAACATTGAAAATACAACGATTTCTACATCCAATATTCGAATCGATTTACTATTTAGTATTTACTAGTATTTCTATTCGTATTTCACTATATTACAATTAGCGACCGGTTGCATTATTAAATATATTTTTTTTATTAATTTAGGCTCATTACTCATCATAGTCTATCGTCTATGACCATTGACTACCCACCCGGATACACCTTGAGTATATAGGAGGGCCGCCACTGCTAAAAGGTGATGACAGAAACAAAAAAAAATAAAAAATAATTAACTACCTAATTAATCAATATATAATAATAATTAATACATTCATCGCAAAATGAGAGACATCTTGTAAACATTTTGTATATATTTAATATATTTCATACTCAGCATATTAGCCTTGCTGGGAGTAATGTACGATGTCGATGACGACATGTTCGTTACAGATCTTTCACATCAAAATCCACAGAGTATGAAAAACCAAAGGACAGTTGGCCATTTAAGTAGCAGAAAAAAAAATGGAATAATCTAAATCAAAATTCATTGATAATATTATTAATTTCGTACGGAAATGTTGTATATTTATTATTTATAAACCGTGCGCAGCGCCACTACAAAAATAACCAGTTTCGACCTTTGGTGGTGTACTGTCTACTCATATTACTTATACTCATTTTACACTCTCTTGTGGGACTTAAGTTTTAACCACTATATATGTGCACAAGGCCGACTGATAACGAGTGGCGACTAAAGACGTATAGTATTCGAATTTAAACTGATTTAGTGATTTGAATACTTTCAGAGTATATGACTTTCATATTACTTATTTTTTTTTTCAACCCCTTACATTCATTGAATATTTCTGAGCATGCCTCCCACCTCCACTCTAATATAGGATATTTTTTTTCGCTATTAAATGTTATAAAAGGATTGAATTATTCACAAAACGGAACAAAAAGTCCAACAAGAGGAACAAACTGTCCTCGGAACAAAATATCACCTTACCATAGTTATCAGCTGGTGGTGGAACGTGAAAAACCTTTGGATTATTAAATGCCGGAGGAAAAGAAGAATAATTTTAGTATTGCGAGTAGTACTTATATGGGTACGCTCGTACACTCACCGGCAATTTTCTTTTTCGTGAACTCAAATACGGCCCTCTCCGCGAGACTGGTCACAAAATAACTGACGTTGTTTCTAACGTCAGCCTCGTATTCGGTCACACGTCTGATCAAGTTTATGATGTCGAACGCGGACGCTCCCGGTTCCGATAGCGATTTGGCCAATGCTATCATTTCAAACATCGTTGCATCTGATAAATTGTAGTCCACGTCTAAAACATAAAAAAACCTACAGCTTTATATAAACGCGAAAATATTCAAACGTGAGCATGTCAAGAATTATAATTGTTATAGAAGGTGGGTATAATTAGCCGATACCTATAATATATTATTTAAATCTAATATTATTTTAAAATAGGCATGTATTTTTGAATACTTAGATATTACTATATTAGTGAATACCGGATCCTTCATAAAATGCATGTTCATATTTTTATAAGCAATTACAAGCAGTAAATAAATAATATTGAAAATGTTTATTTTGCATATTTTTGCATATTATGGTTTCAAGTGCATATATTTTAAACGCATGTTTTTGCATATTACGTACACATTTAAATGTTTTTATTTAATTTTATAATTGTATACACAATCATTACCTATAAGTATAAATGTATTCCACAACACAAAAATTTAAAATATTTTTTAAAATAATATGATATGACGTTTCCGTTGATCATTATTAGTTGATAGGTACCTAATTCATGACATAGTGGTTTTCCCATTTAGCAGATAGTTATGAACATTTTAAAAATTTCATTCAAAATCTACAAGAAGCTGATGTCAAAATCATTAAAAACTGTAAAAAATTCTGACTAAATCAAATAAAATTAACCATGTGACTTATATTAAAACTAATTTTTAAATTATTGTATTTGAAGTTATTAAAAAAACTTGAGACTTGAAGACAGGTTTACTAAAAAATGTATCTAAAAAATACATAAGCAAATTTTATTTTTATAGTCATTTTAAGTTAAAATTTGGACGAAATTACATAATAAAAACCTAGAATTACTATTTTAGTTATTTTGTTGTGATTGTATAATATTATTCGTGGGTACTTGAAACTTCTAAAGTACACTATTATATATCTATGATAGTTTCAGGGTTTGTTGTTGATGTATAACGTGTTATAAGGACCTAATGGATATTGTGATATGATTCATTTGGAATGTATTTTAGGTACCTATTATAGGTCAATTTTTTTTTTTAATACCATTTATAAGTAGGTATATAATTTTTCTTATACTTAGACTGAAATACCGTCTCAACTCAGAATCGTTTTTCTTTCAGTGACCCACTTGTAACCTACTGTACAACAGAGCACCTTTTTTTATTTTTTTTATAAATCGTACTAATACAAAATCCAGGAAATCATAATATTATTAATATTATTGATGTTTTATGTCAAGCCGTTCCCATTGGAATTTCACGTATTTTATTTTTATAATTTGCAGTCAAATAATTATAATATGAGTATCATAATAACGTTATTATCATCAATATTTATATATTAGAATATATATATTAAATAGTTAGTAAATAAATTTGAACGTTTTAAAAATTGTTCAAATACATTAAAAATATAAACGTTGATCACGTTTACTTTGTATTTGAAAAAAAAAACGAGTGACGTTCTTTGATCGTTCACTGAATATTATTATTACGAACGTGAACGTGCGTTCATGAACGATGTTCTTTCCAAACCCTGATATAAGTAGTATAATAATTTAGTCACCCTCGTGTGTCTTCACTTGTTGGCGCCGTCAAACGACAATATTGTTAATTTTTAAGGTATTTTAGGTGACTCGTTATATTATATAATAACTATTGTTATCATAACAAGAATAATAGTACGATACCGTTCATCATAATCTGCTGCATCAACGATGGCGAGCGGTTATCATCCGTCAAATCGAACAGGTAACGTCGAGCTTTTTCTTCTGCGTACGCTTTAGGGACGGACAATTCCGATTCACAGGCCGTTGATGGCTCGGTAATGTTGGTCTGTAGACATATTGTCATTTTGTTCCAAAGCGGTGCCGTCTTATTCCAGAACGCTGCATCCTGGACGCATTTAGTGGAGTTAATCCTCAAATTCTCAATGCGCTGGATGAATGTGAGGTTCATATTCACGGATTTCGAGTTCTACAGTACGAAGAGTATATAAACAACAAAGCGATGTAACAGCGATTAAGTCACATCAAAATATTATATTACAATGATTATTGAAAACGATTAAGTAGATTAGGTAATATTTAAGTCGCAAAGTATTTCAAAGACAATTTAGAAGATTCCACTTATTTGATGTCCGTGAATCATGTGGGCAGTATTAGTACATAGGCAACGGTGTGTCCAATCATTCAGATAAATAGGTACAAATACAGGAAATTAATTAAATTAGAAAATATATTAATAATCGTCTTTAGTTTAATTAATAATTCAATAAATTCGATGTTTAATAAAGTTTAATTTATTATTATTTATTTATTTATTTATTTATTTATTTAATAACAATAATGTACAACAATAATGTTCAGAGCTCAATTTTTACAAAGGCATGTTTTGAATATAATATACATAACAAATAATTTAGGAGAAAAAAAAATTATAAGATGAATGACGGATCCTCATTGGCAGTTTTCATCATCCTGGGAGTGGTTAATTTCTTAAATAATTGATAGACGAATGTGGTATAAGGAAAAAAGCACTATTTTGGGTGTTTCTAATAGGTACCGTTATATAATAAGTGCAAGGACAGAAGTGTAGCCAAAGATTCAGAAATAAGTTTGCGAAAAAAGATAAATTATATTGATAACGATGATCGGATAGGGTAGACATATGTAGAAAACAGAGGACGGGAGGGTAGTCATGAGGTTCGCAAGTAATGTTAAAGTTAAATTTAACGAAGCTAAACACGTGCTGCTTGCAGGTCTTAGCAGTCTGAGAATCCCAAACTACAGGGCGTTATTCAACAATAGGCCTAACGAGTGCACAAAACTTTGCTTTAAGGGGGTTGGAAAGTTTAAATTCACTAACTATTTTTTTAGTAAAACATAAAACCGTAAGTTCTTTACAAGTGATATTATAAATATAAGCCAGAGGAAAAAGGGATGGAGTATAGGTAAAGCCGTGATCACATTCGCTAGTGACAAAAGACAATGGGACACAGCTTAGTACCGTTAATGGTGTATGTTAATGAAATAGGATTTCCGCAACGGGTGAATGTCATTATATCTGCATTTGTTAATTTTAAGAGTCAAACCAAGTGATTCAGACCAAGCGACGAAATAATTGAGGTCGTCTTGTAGATAAAGACAATCAGTTATTGAGTTAATACTTTCATAAATATTTCATGTCATCTGCACTATTGCACTATGCATAACAGCTGGCAATGCTTAAGAAATGAACAAGCTCTATTATCAAATAGCTAAAAGCAAAGGGGACAAATTTCCACCTTGGGGGACACCAGTGGAAGGGTGCAACACTTCTGATTTTGTATTGAATAGTTTTACCCATTTTATTTATTTTTATCCCTGACTTTGAAATTGGTGTGATAGTTCCAATTTTCCATATACCAGGAAAAAAATTTTCATTAAGGAATCTCCTAAAAAGAAAGAATTATGGAAAGAAAATAACCTATCTATTATGCAAGACGGGCAAGTTAATGTTTTTTTTTTAACTCACTTAAGTTAAGTTAATATGCACCAATAACAAAAAGTTAAAAGTTAATTTAACTATAGGTTAACTCAGTTAATTTAAAAGTTAATACACACTTTTTGTTAACTTTTTATTAAGTTAAAAAAAAAGTTAATTTGTTTATACAACGCTAGCGTACATTATTTTTTTAAAACCCAAAACTAAATTATAGACTATAGTATTTATACTTTGTACAGTATTTCCGTATAAGTTAGATTCGAAGGATATACATTTTTAACTTTAAGCAATTTAGGATATATATTTTTTGACATGAAAAAGAAATAGACTAAAATAGTGAAATATAATTAAATTAAAAACAAAATAAATAAACTTAACTTACTTCTTAAAATAAAAAATTAACTAAATTAATTTCAAGTTAATTAAAAAAGGAATTTAGTAAGTTAACAGTTAAGTTACTGAAAAGCCAAAAGTAACTAGTAAATTAAATTAACTTTTTAACTTAACTTTAACTTTTTAACTTGTTAATGCACAGCCTTGCTATTGTGACAGGTTCTAAACATTTTTTTTTAAGAACATTTATCACTTAAATTTAGAGGTAGTTTTTGGAATTTTTATAGGGTACCTACACAAATGTTTAAAATGTTTTATTTAAGAAATGTCATCACACGTGGGTTCAAAATTAAATATTTTGGCAATTCTATATTTTTTTTTAATTAACTAATAAAAATATATTATGTTGGTATTATGTGAATATTGTCTACGGTTATTTATTTTTAGACATATTACTCACTGGATTGTAGCCACAGTTATCTGAAGATTCTGTTTCCGTTTCTATACCTTCATTCACAAGTACTATTTCGTCAATCACCTCCTCTTCTTCCATCGATTGTTTATTTTCTACACATCTCTCTACCAATGACTTGTTGATTTCCATCGTCCGTATTTGATTTTCATATTTGGCCCGATATTGGTTCAATTCTTTAACCTGTTTTTTAGCCAATGTAGAAAGTTTAAATTTTTCTATATTTTCCACTGTTTTTCGATCTCTATTTTTTATTTTATTCCTCAGCTCTAAAATTCTATAAAATGCCAAGTCTTTCAACTCAATTATCCGAAGTCTTGTTTTATCCAATTTTTCTTTATTTTTAGCAATTTTTACTTTTTGTTCATTCTTCCGTTGCTTTTTAAAATTTTGAATATGTTCTTCACTTAATATTAATTTTGACCATAACAGTCTTTGTTTGGACTCGTATTGCTGCTTTAGTATAGCTTTCCGCTTCTCTACATTTGTTAAAAAATTTTTTCCACACTCCATTTCGAGAATTTTAGATAATTTAAATTTGTTGATTTTGTGTAAGATCTAGTTAATCTATAATCAAGTTTCTATATTATACTGTAAATAAAGGTTAAGATTAGGTTTTATAAAAACCTAATAATGTTTTATTATAAACAACTGTTTCTATGCTCTGCAGCCATTTAAATTGTCAATAGAGCCAATATTGGTACGTACCTTTATTTATTAAAACAATAAAATTTCTTTGGCACCCTGCATTTTTCAATCTAAGAGAAGGGTCCTGTGTCGTGTACGCCGATTAATGCAGACACACACAAATAAGCGAACATATTAGAAAACTACAAAAAACACTAAAAAGTCTACACAGACGCTTCTAGATTCTAAGACACAATACCAAGGAGGAATCTCAATAATAGTTAGAAACAAAAACGTATTACTGAAGTTACTAAATCTAGACTGCATATATACGACCGAGGCAATAGTGATACTCGAGGCGCTTAAAACAATCATAGATGGTGAAAAACCTAACCATATAATATTCAGTGGCTATGGTGAACCTGTTTGAACCTAGAAACATCACAATAAAATTACAGAACAAATTAAATGAAGCCTTATCCAAAAACAAACAAATTACTCTCATGTGGGTACACCGCCATCCCAGGCACACCGACATTGAAGGAAATTAACTAGCCGACCAACAGGCCAAGATCGCCACCACTAATTCCGAATTTAAGACTATACCAGGACCCTCCTACAACTAAATGGCTCAATACATAGAAACATAAAATCACCAAACTCAACACAATAAAAAGAAGTACCAACAGGTGGATAAATAGTTCTTTAGAAAGAAAAGAATAAGCGGTACTAAACGGATTGAGAATCGGACATACGTGACTTATGGTCGGGTACCTAATGCAAAGGAAGAACCCCCCTCGTGCGAAGTCTGTAATGTTCAGTTAACAGTGAAACATATCATAACCGGATGCCTGAAATAACAACAAGATCGACAAAACATTGGGTTAGATACAACCCTTGACGTTGCACGAGACCCAAAACCAATCAGATGACCAAGATGATAAAATGTTTGAAATCAACAGGTCTCTACAATTAAATCTAATAATAATATTATATAAACTAGCACTTTATATACAATGTAACCATACCTTTGATTTTAATGTTGTAAGTACTACTTAAAAAAATATATATATTTGATAAGACTGTAAATACTTTAACTCAATTTATGTTGCTTAAACTAATGACTATAATTACCGAGTTTAAAAGATCAATAAAAAAAAAAAGAAACCTAACTAAATAATGTAAAATAATGTAACATTATAACCTTTTTTATTCAATTTTATGATTTTTTTAACTCAGTTAAATTAAGTACTTTTTTTTCAATTAAATTAAAAGTTGAGTAAATGCATTTTTAATGCATCAATTGAGTTTAAATTAAGTTAACAAATACTGTTCACTTAATTTAACTTAAATTAATAAGTTAAGTTAATAACAATAAAAAAAAAATTCTTTTATGAGGTACCTATTATTTAAATATTAAAATAACTAAATAATCACTTGAAAAGGAATCATCATTCATAGGTATATTACTATTCAAACAATCGTCAATCTACAATAATGATTATTGTACGAATAAAAAATAATTAAAAAGTGACAACTAATGAGTAATGAATAGGTATTATAATTCATGGCATCGATGTCTTCATACGGGCGACTAATTATTTTACCACTGTATTAATATTTATAAGTAACTTATTAATACAATATATTCGTTTTTTATCTTTATACATAAATTCCAAGTTTTTTTATAAATTTATCTTATTTTTTTTCTGATATAAGTTTCTATATATTTTTTTCTATTATAATAATTATTATAAACCGAAAATCCGTAATAAACAAAATATTTTTCTAGATAATAGTAATATATTGACACGGCTATGGCGGTGATGGTGTGGGTTCCGCTGTGAGCCGGTCGTTGAATGTTGATGGTTGTGTTGTTGACACTGTAAGTCTGTAATATTCTGGTAGCTCTGATGACTACTAATATATTAACGTTTGCAGGTAGCTAGACCGTTTACTATGATGATGAGGTATTGGTTGAATAATTGTAACACAATTGCAGAATTATACTGTTGTCTATTTAGAGTTCCAATAATCACAATGGTGCTGACTGCTGAGTCCAGATGACAATCGTTACACAGAGTCGCGTGAAGATGCTTGCAGTATCGATGAGTGGACACGTCTGAATACAGGCTGTTTCGGGGTCCCTCTAATAGTTCGGTCCCCGCTCCCCCTTGCCTAGTGATGCTGTATCTCGGTTCTAACGGATATGATCTATGTGGCCATCGACCTAACTACGCACTTGCGAAATTCCTAATCTATTCTGGGTATTACTATAATGTACTGACAGATCATCTAGCTGTGACTGTCAATTTTATTTTAATAAACCATACTATTTTTATATTGAATTTCTCTCATATAACGCTATCGCATTTATCAGATCCGCCTATTCTACATGATTGCAATGTCGTGCTAATCTACTGTGGTATTATTTTGAATATCGTTTCTCCTTGAGCTTTACATTTATTAATCGCAATTTTGTTTACGCGTTCGTTTTTGGCGTTATACTCCCTATGGTTTCTTTGATTAAGTACAACCAAAAAGGTTAACTAGTTTCTATTTGATATATCTGACCATTATACCTATCTACAGTCTATTATGTTAAATATGTTACCTGTCGGGACTTTAAATGTTGCGTAGTAACTCGCTTACTATAACACTCACAAAAGAGAAATAACACAAAAAAAAGAGAACGGAACTCAGATATGGTTCGGAGTGAAGGTGTGGCTTTTTACTGTGGTGTGAAAGAAACAAAGTATTGTTTTATATTGTGTAACGCAAAAGTCGAGATGATGACGGTCGGTGTTAGAGTAGTCCGGTTGACGGTAACACGGTCGGTGAACGAGAGAGTTACCGCCAAGGCCGATACTCGCTTTTCGTTACTTGCCTTCCCTTTCTGCAATGTGCCTTTTGCCGTGCGATTGGAGATTCGACGGTGTCTCGCAGTTTTATCCCGTGGTGGCGGTTGACAAAAGTATAGACCAGTCGCTGCGGTTAGGTACTACCCTGACCTGTACTTTGTACTGGTTGCCGCTGCGTACTGATATAAAATTAACTTAATGTGGAAAATAAAGAAAAATATTAGTTGATTTTAAGTTAATGTAGAGGCAAATGAGTTAAGTTAATGTTAAGTTAATTAGAACACCGAACTACATAGTAAGTTAAGTTAATAAGTTAAAATTAACTTAACTTCTAACGTATTAACTCGTTAAAGCCGAGCCTTGCTTTTACTTACAACTGGCGTCTTATGGAGTTATACGATCACCACACCTAACCCTTTTTCTGTGTGTACATATTATCCTTTCAAATCACACTACCTACCTATCGATAGGTAATGTAAAAATTAATTTTAACGTAGTTATAATGTACTTATTAAAGATGTGTAAAATCATACTAGTATTTTTATTTTATTGCATGACTATGTTATCTTAACCTAATTTGGTGGAATGCATGTTTATAACATGTTGTTAGATAATTAACTTATTTAGGTAATATTTTAATTTTTGAATTTTACTTATGTTACCTATGACAATTGTTTTTATAATCTAGTTTTTAAATACTAACAATACCTAATGTCTCATTACAATACATACTTTAATTTACAACTATATTAAAAGCTTTATACAAGAGTCCATAGTAATTTCGGTAAAGCATGATTCGTACGTTTTACATTTTTGGGAACACGATTTTTCGTCGATTCCGTTCGATTTTGATCAAACCATGTATTATTAAAATTACCCCAAAAACATTGGCGTAATTCCATTAAATTTTAGCAGGTGCACAACTTTTATTGGTCCAATTATCGTAAATACAAATAAAGTTTTATTTAAATCCAATCATTATGCTCGGGTACACTAGGTATATATTTTAGATTCTGCGCAGAGCGATGATTATATTTATTTTATAAAAATGTGTGTTTTTTTTTATTTTTGTGTCATCACTGCGTGGGTAGGTATAATTGCTTCGATATTCTTCAGTATCTTGTTGGATGAGAAAGTGAATCTATTTGGTGCATTCGAGAGAGAGAAATTTTAAATTCACAATAGTTTTCAAACGCGCAGGAAAAAACAACATAAACATTAATGAAAAAACGGGAATTTTTTTATAGTTTTTGACAAAATCAATTTTGATTTTTGGTGTAACTCTAAGCCAAATGAACGTATATACTTGAAATTTTCACCTGTTGTTTATTTTTACATTTTCTATACACGATTAAATCTATATAATAAAAAAAGTGGCCATTTCTCAAATAACTCAGTTTCTTGAAAACTACTATTCCGATTTACTTGAAATTCAACATAGATATTCAGTTTGAGCTCATAAGTATTAGTCTGAAGTCAAAAATGGCATTGGGATTTTTTCACGATCACCAGGAAGTCAGAAGTGATTTTTTTATCATCTTCATGGATTTTATTGATTAAAAAATATATTTTCTTGAAGAGAAAAGATTATTAACGTAACTTAACATTGTTATGATCTTAAAGTTGAACAGTATATTAATTCAAATGATGCATTTGAAAATGATGAAAATGTTTCAGATATGAGTCAAAAATTTACATTATCATCAAGTTTTATAGGTAGTAAATGACATATGCATGAATATTATTTATAAGATGCTGTTTGTTACGTTAGACATAATGGAAAGCCATGTTTATTCATTACATTTACAAGTGATATTCGATGAACAGAAATCACGAATTTATTGTTGGCTGATCAGCAACCAAGTGATCGCCACGACTTAATAGCAAGAGTATTCAATTGTAAATTAAGAAAGCTAATCGATTTGATAACTAAGTGCAAGATTTTCAGTAATGTTATATATTGGGTTTATTCAATAGAATGGCAAAAAAGAGATTTATCACTTTCTCATATTTTAATATGGTTAA